CTATAGCAACATAAAACCAATTCATTGCATCTAGTAGGTTTGTATTGCCACAAATATAATTTGTTGGTATATAATAGTAACTTTGGTTGCAAGAAAAGTTGTACTGCTACGAAATCTTTTTATGGGCCTTACAGAATGCATGCTAGGATGTAAGCATGTAAGGAACTCCAAGAGATGCTATTCCTAGTTTTACATCGATAGTTTGAGGCATAAAATAGACTCCAATAGATGTTGTATGCGAGTTTCTAAAATACCCAGTGGGCTATCCCACCTATTCCGCTTGCCAAAGAAAGCAAGCCTGCGAGTGCTAGCTATTGGCCCTTCCCACTGATTTCATGGGAACTGCATTTTAAACTTGCAGTTGTTATAATGAACCAGGAACTGCATGGATTATTGTAGTTATTTATCATAGGAACGTGCTCTCGTGTTGCCATTTTTAGACTCAATCTTGTCTTTGTTCATGATTAGTTGAATCATGATCTATTGGTGAATAGGGTTGTGGAAAACAAATTAGCTCCAGTCTATTAGCATGTGCTTGGAAGTTGTCAGGTTCTCCACAGCGCTTTTCAGTAAATATTTGTAGAGGTCATCTTAGGTGAAAAATGATGTGTTCCACCATAGCGGTGATTAACAATCAATACTACAATTAAGCAAGTTGAGAAATACTATCATAACCATATCTTGCTTGTTTCTTGATGTTATAGTAACAAGAATCCATTCATCCGGATCTTGCTATCTTCATACCTTTTACTCAAAGCATACATATACCTAAAAGTGACATACATACCTAAAAGTGACATACACGTATAACTAGTAAATTAGTGTTCCTGCTAGGTGTTGCCATTCTAGCATAGGCCATGGCAACCTCGAGTGACCTTTGATTGCACTGCTGTCAGTTTTGTTCAGCTTTGCTGATTTCTATACGATAGTTTTATAGTTATCATTAACATATAAATTTTGTAGAACCATTTTGTACAAAACTATGTTGTGCAGGAAGTAGAATTTGATTGGGCCATTAACATTTGAGCATTCTTAGAGCAATTGTACAATTCACAACTAGATATATGCCTAAAGATAGGCCATATAGATTTCTTTTGTTATTGTAAGCATATTTATGATCTTTTTAGTTTCAGTTTGGAGATTGACATGGTACCCTTGCACTGTTTACCAATCACTTGACATGATACTCTTGTATGATATATATAATCTTTAGTTTTAAAATGTGTTCACGGCTTCTATTGCAACAATGTTTCATTATTAAATTATCTAATGCAATATGGGGTGCTACAAATTATTGTTTTGTTGTGATACAATATTTGTTACCACGATGCTCATTTGTTGCAATACATTACTTATTACCATGACACTTGCTTGTTATGATGCAGTACTTATTGGCATGTACATTGACTGTTGCTATAATAGAGATTTGCCACGTAAACTAGTTCACTGCGAAAGCATCTCTAGGCGATGTACATCATGTGCGGCAATAAAGGCTATTGTATCTGACTACATATTGTTACAATAATTTCTATCCCAATGAAATATTTTGCGTGGCAAAAGGATAGATTGCAACTTTTTTTGTGACAAGGATAGATTGCAACGAAACAATGCACATAGCAAAAGGTCCAATTTCAACAATTCAATTGCTGTGGCAATAATGCCGATTGCCACCAAATAGCTTCGTGGCAATATAAACTATCACCATGTCGATAGTCGTCGCAATAGTATTTATTGCCATGATATCATGCATGGCATCTGTTATCTATTGCAATGGTCCATCTCGTGGCAATAAAAACTATCGCCACGTCGATAGCTGTGGCCATAGCCTCTGTTGCCACGATATCAGGCGTGGTCTCTATTATCTATTGTGATGACCCAATGTCGCGGCTACTGACATGTGTATCACAACGAAAACATAAATCCGAGTCGCAAACTTTAGACCATGTCAATACTTGCCACACCTCCCAACAAACACGATTTGGTTGCAAAGGGTACATATTGCAACCATTTGACCTTATTGCAACATTTGTCGTCATTGTCCAAGGATCAAAACTTAGTAGTGGAGAGAAAGAAGCCGTAGGTTGGATACCAGATTGCTAAACACCTATAAGCTTTTGAATCTTCAACCTTTTACGATCCAACTTTTTAAAATTCAAATTCCAAAAATTATGCTTTACAATGTTTAGTTAAAATAAGAATATGTAATTTTGTAAAACTTGTTGCATTTCTCTTGCTAGGATTAAGAATTGCATGCACCTAGCTTTTGAACTTAATGAAAATGTGGATACAAAGTGAAATGAATAGTGACGTGTATTTTCCTTTTGAAAGCCATGGTGAAGCAAAATTAATTAATAATGGCAAAGTGTCTAAAAGAATCAGATACAAATATAAGTCTATGTAATAATCTCCTTATGTGGTTTAGTTGAAATTGAGGCCAATAAACCTATGTACAATTTGCAGGCATAGTCTATAACCTTGTTTGTTTGTTGGGATCAGGCCGAGACCGCATGCCCAACTAGGGTTGCCACATATAGATGTGGGGAGGAAGGCACGGAGGTTGGAAGAAGATAAATGATGGCCTACATGTAAGTGAGAGAAGGAGAGAAAGAAACCATAAGCTAAAGTCTAGGCTGGTAAACAACTATGAGTTTTTGAACCTTGAGCATTTTACACTAACTTTTCACAATCCACAAGTTGTGTACTAGCTAGAATCTCTAGTCAAAATAAATAGGGCCTAAATATCCTTGTAAAAGATCATTGCATTTCTCTTAATGGGATTGAGAATTACATGTACATAATTTTATGAAATGTAATGAAAATGTGGATATAAACATAAATACATAGTAAATTTACATTAAGGATTTATTTGGTTTGAGAGTGAGTTAGTATAGGATGAATCTGTCTCCTGTTTTAGAGATGAGATGGTTTCATCTTTTCTATTTGTTTAGATGCATAAAACGGTTCTAGTTGTTTTTTGTTTGGTTGGACGGATGTGATGGAATGGTCCCTTTGTTATCCATAGTTAATAGTGGAGCGTGCAAAACAATCAAATGTCTCTCCCCTTCCTTCCCCTCATTTTCCTTGCCTTCCACCTACAGGTTGTGCAGGATGCCTAAATGTGGCGAGGATGCCCTACCCACCCACACCACCCATGTAGCAGCACTGTCGCCCACACCTTGTTGTGCCATTGGTGAACCATGGCAGCACAGGATCCCCACCGTCATACCTACCTTACACTGAAATCCATGTCGGCAACGTCATACTTGATGGAGAGGGCATATTTGGCATTGTCACCGGTGGATTCGAGCTTCAAGTCGCTGCATTTGAGCTCCTTGGTAGCAAATTTGAGCTCCCCTTCACACAAATCAATCTCACTAAGGCCAAGCTTCTCCATGTCATGCGGGCATGAGGGCAACAATGCTAGGCGGGGAGTTGGAGGGTGTCAGCATCCGTGTGGGGCTTGCATCCAGGATCTCAAGGGAATATTCCCTTTGAGGATGAGCTCATCTCTCTAATTTACAACTGAACACTAGTGAAATTGGGGTGGAATTCCTCCAACCAAACGCGATCTAACAACAGCAAAATGTCTTAAAAGATCTGGGTATAAATATAAACATATGTTATAATATTGATACAAAAAATGTCTCCATATATAATTTAGTTGTCCTAGTCCAGTAAGCTTACGTCCAACATGCATACACGGCCCATAGGATGGGACACAAAGCAGAGCACTGTGCCAATCAGGAGAAACTCCGTCAAGGAAAAAAAAGGATGCCAGACCAGAAAAGTTCTAAAGAAATGCAATCCCAAGATATTCTGATGAAGCTTCTTAATTACCACCATTTGTTGCTGGATACCGCAACTTGCTGTGAGCCTAACGGTTAATTCACACTTAATTAGCACGCATGATGCATTTTTTGTAGCACATAATATAGATTAGCAGTAGTAATATACTACGTACTCCAGTACTTAGTTGAGATGTAAGCCAGCGAGGCTGGATCCCTCTCTACCAACGCAACGGGCTTGCGGCCTGTGGTTCATTAAAAGACCCCACATGGCATTGGCTCGATCGACGAACACGGTGCTGGCAATGGCAGATTCCTGACTCGATCCCCCGCCAAGTCAAAGCAGCATGCAACACCCCTAACATGAATTTAATGCACAAATCAGGTCAAAGGCATGCAGCCTCTACTATGCTACTGCAACAACAAAAAATTAAAGAAGTGTGATTATTTTTTTCCAATTTTTTTTCTCAATTTTTCTAACAAAGAAAAGAGAGATTGGCAGTGTAGGCAGTGACTACTGGTAGTGTGACTACTTGCAGTGCAGATCTCTCTCCTGCTCTATAAAACCCTCCTAGTGGACTCCATGAGGCTTTACTCTGGAGTCTAGAGTCTGGAGCCTGTAGTACAGCAGTAGCAGTAGCAGCAGCAGCCAGCCAAGCTACTCACTACTACTCTCCACTGTATCTCTACTGTCCTCAAACTCGACCAGCTAGCCACTGTGTGTGAGCTCATCTCTAGACACCAGAGTGTGTGCTCTTGTGAGAGTGTGCGTGCGTGCTCGCGAAAGTCCGTGTGTGGCTCTGTGTGCATTGCCTCGTCGTCCGAGGCAGTAGTACTCGTCACACCGTACCTTTCTTGGATCTGAAGCTCAGAAGAAGCTAGGCTTCTCTCATCAGGTTACAAGGTATGTAATGCATGGTCTGATCAGTAGATCCTTTTGTTCATTGTTAAGACTACATTTGGCAAGTTCATAATCGGTATGCTATGATGTTTGCAGGTGATTAAGTTCACCTGAGGTAAGAAACTGAAGATCTAGACAGCAGCAGCTGCTGCTGCTATCAGCTAGCACCATCACTTCACTAGCACAGCCAAAGGTCTTCGAAAGGCCAGGCAGAGGGGGCTGTGGTGTTCTCGGGAGCAACACGCTTAAACGGCTGCGCCTCCGAGAGCGCGTCCACTGATCGGGAGATCGGCCGCTAGCTCCTACGTGCAGCCATGGCGCCGCCGAGCTCGTGGTGGGGCAGCGAGGAGCAGCGCGGCACGCCGGTGGTGGTGAAGATGGACAACCCCTACTCCCTGGTGGAGATCGACGGGCCCGGCATGCCGCCCTCCGACAAGGCCCGGGGCAAGAACGCGAAGCAGTTCACGTGGGTGCTGCTCCTGCGCGCGCACCGCGCCGTGGGGTGCGTGGCCTGGCTGGCCGGTGGCTTCTGGGGCGTCCTGGGAGCCGTGAACCGCCGCGTGCGACGCAGCCGCGACGCGGACGACGAGCCGGACGCCGAGGCCTCGGGCCGCGGCCGCGTCATGCTGCGGTTCCTGCGCGCGTTCCTGCTGCTCTCCCTGGCCATGCTGGCCTTCGAGACCGTGGCGCACCTCAAGGGGTGGCAGTTCCCGCAGCACCTGCCGGGGAACCTGCAGGAGCTGGAGGAGCAGCTGCAGCACCTCCCCGAGCACCTGCGGCACCTCCCCGACCACCTCCGCGTGCCGGAGCGGCAGGAGATCCAGGGGTGGCTGCACCGGGCGTACGTGGCCTGGCTGGAGTTCCGCGTCGACTACATCGCCTGGGCCATCCAGAAGCTGTCCAGCTTCTGCATCCTGCTCTTCATGGTGCAGTCCGTGGACCGCATCGTGCAGTGCCTCGCGTGCTTCTGGATCAAGATCCGCGGCATCAAGCCTCGTATCCCGGCAGCGTCCGGCGGCATCAAGCCTCGTGGAACTGCAAGGAAGAGCGCGGATGTCGAGAACAACGGTGACGCCGACGACGACGCCGACGGCTACTTCCCCATGGTGCTCATCCAGATGCCCATGTGCAACGAGAAAGAGGTCAGTAGTGGCACATACTCACAGAGTCACAGTAGTGCTTCTTAGGACGGACGTGACGTGACGGACGCATGAATCTGCAGGTGTACGAGACGTCCATCTCGCACGTGTGCGAGTTGGACTGGCCGCGGGACCGGCTGCTGATCCAGGTGCTGGACGACTCGGACGACGAGGTGTGCCAGATGCTGATCAAGGCGGAGGTGACCAAGTGGAGCCAGCGCGGCGTCAACGTCATCTACCGCCACCGCCTGTCGCGCACCGGCTACAAGGCCGGCAACCTCAAGTCCGCCATGGCATGCGACTACGTCAAGGACTACGAGTTCGTCGCCATCTTCGACGCCGACTTCCAGCCCAACCCGGACTTCCTCAAGCTCACCGTGCCACACTTCAAGGTACTTTTCTTTCTATACTACTGCATGCATCGATCTCGTTGTAGCTCATCAGTCATCACATTTCACATCATAGCTAGCGCTAGCTTCAGATCTCAACGTCGGTGCAAGTATATTATATGATGATGGTGCCTTCTAGTAGCTAGATTGATCGAGATTGATGTACGTAAACTATTCCATAAGCATGTGATCTACAACTTGGTTCATGAGCCTAATTAAAGCCATGACTTCGAGATCAGTAGATCAGTAACTCATTCTAGTCAGTCGTTTAGCTCATTTCTCAGTCTCAGTGGAGGCAAAAAAAAAAAAAAAACAAATAGGTACACGGTGACGTGTTGAAACACCGTTTAGACATGAGACAGGAAACTGTCATGGATGATATACAGTCGTCACTCCAAATCTGACTTCTAGCTAGTACTAGTAGGCATGGCATGACCCATGTATATATATGTATGTCCAAATCTCAGATTAGGTTGACTTATTAGGCAGTTAAGCCATTGGTTGGTGGTGCACATCAATAGATAGGTGTTTATATTAATGACACAAGAATGGACACCTTAATGACCTCGATCCTAGGACTATATATACATATCTTAATCTAGATCCACATGACATGGTAGTGAGACAAAATAGTCTAATCTTTGACAAATATCCAAACGCCTGATTTATCCATGCATCATGCATGGGCTAGCTAACTGACTGAACCGACGACGACGTGATCCGAATGGTGTGGTGCAGGAGGACCCGGAGCTTGGTCTGGTCCAGGCTCGTTGGAGCTTCGTGAACAAGGACGAGAACCTGCTGACCCGGCTGCAGAACATCAACCTGTGCTTCCACTTCGAGGTCGAGCAGCAGGTCAATGGCGTCTACCTCAACTTCTTCGGCTTCAACGGCACGGCCGGCGTGTGGCGCATCAAGGCGCTCGAGGACTCGGGCGGCTGGATGGAGCGCACCACCGTCGAGGACATGGACATCGCCGTCCGCGCGCACCTCAACGGCTGGAAGTTCATCTTCCTCAACGACGTCAAGGTACTATATATTGTCCATCTGATCTCAGGTCATTAGGGTGTTAGACATTGTGATCGAGCTGTGACACATGCATGTGTGTGCATATATTGCAGGTCCTCTGCGAGCTGCCGGAGTCTTACCAGGCTTACAGGAAGCAGCAGCACAGGTGGCACTCCGGCCCCATGCAGCTCTTCCGCCTCTGCATCCCGGCCATCTTCAGGTCCAAGGTAACGACGAGCATCCAACAACCAATTAGCATGCATGTGTGCAGATCCACTACCATTTATTTTATGAATCGAAATGAATGCATGCATACGTGCAGATCCCGTTCTGGAAAAAGGCGAACCTGGTGATGCTCTTCTTCCTGCTGCGCAAGCTGGTGCTGCCCTTCTACTCCTTCACGCTCTTCTGCGTGATCCTGCCGCTCACCATGTTCGTGCCGGAGGCGGAGCTGCCCATCTGGGTCATCTGCTACATCCCGGTGCTCATGTCGCTCCTCAACATCATGCCGGCGCCCAAGTCGTTCCCGTTCATCATCCCCTACCTCCTCTTCGAGAACACCATGTCCGTCACCAAGTTCAACGCCATGGTGTCCGGCCTCTTCCAACTGGGGAGCTCCTACGAGTGGATCGTCACCAAGAAGGCGGGCCGCACCTCGTCCGCCTCCGACATCCTCGCGCTCGCCGAGGCCGACGCCCACACGCCGCCGCCGGCCAAGCTCGTGCGCGGCGTCTCCGAGGGCGGCCTCCAGGAGTGGGGCAGGCTCAGGGAGCAGGAGGCCGCCGAGTGGGCCAACAAGGAGGACGCAGCCGCAGCTCTGGCTGCCGCCGACGCCGCCGCGCCGGCCACTCCCAAGAAGAGCAGCAAGGCCAAGAAGCCCAACCGAATCTTCAAGAAGGAGCTCGCGCTCGCGTGCCTCCTCCTCACGGCCGCCACGCGCAGCCTGCTCTCCAAGCAGGGGCTGCACTTCTACTTCCTGCTCTTCCAGGGCGTCACCTTCCTCGCCGTCGGCCTCGACCTCATCGGCGAGCAGGTCAGCTAACCGCCGCCGCCACAAGAATAAACTTAATTAGCGGGCGGCTCGCCATGCACGGCGTCGATCGATCCAGCAGGCCACATGCACAGTCAGTCTCACATATGGAAGGCACAACTTCGATGGACGGATCGGATTAATTTTTAGACATTCTTCTCTTAATTTTATCCTTTTGATATTTTTTGTTCAGAGATCAAAGAGTCTGTGTGGTGAACTCTACTCTTCTGTTCTCTAGCTAGTGCTTCTGTGTTGCTACTAGGGGAGGCGGTTCATTACATTCATATATCAGTACTGCTCAATGTATTCAGTAGCCTTGTTTTCTTTCAACATTACATTATGATCGATATGGTGTAACAGATACTTGTCTATGGATAAAATCAATCTTGTATGCTTTCAAATGTCCATGAGTAAGTTCCATCCTGTGTGGTCGTTAACTCTAATATAATTTGTTGTTGTTGTCGTCAATGGCATAACTCAAATCGATCTAAAGTTTGTGGAGTAGACCATAGAGATAGCCAAGAAGGAACCCTGAAGAATATGTTTCGGAATCTCAAAGCACTTGGTGATATGGTCGGTTTTCACTTCCAAAACTTTAATTTGTTTCTCTACTCTATTAATACAAGCTCGGCAGAAACCACAGTACACCTGTCAGCCATTTGGAAAAACTAAAATGATATGATCAGAATCTGAGGAAAACCCCCATAAAGATTCAAATGATTTGTAATAGTATCACCACCAACTCCAACGCAAGGGAAGAGATAGTGCCCCTGAAGGAAGGTTCCCAGCCGAGGGGAGTGCTCCTTGCCGTGGGGAAAAACTGATCTTGGGAACTGTGCCGAAAGTGCCTATTATACAAAAGTAAAGGGAAGGAATCAATCAGGGACAATAAGACGGTTGACATAAGAACAATTAAAATCGTTCAATGACTAAATTAAACTGCCATTTGTCAACTATATATTCGAACACTGAAAATTATCTTTACAATTTGTAATAATGCCTTTAGGGTTATGGTCAGCTACATATATAAGGCGTTGCATATTACTGTTTGCTAGGCAAACAATAATTAACAACAAGTGAGACGTAGACCTAGTATCAGTAGATCACCTATACTCACCTTTTATATATGTCCATACGTATATCTAATTGTCAACCAATTAATAGCAAATTGTAATTCACATGATTTTTTTAGCATTTATTACAGTTGAACACACAAATGTGAAGCAATGAAGTACTCATGCCCAAAGTGCTTACAAAAATGAAGGCAAAAAGGACCAAGAGGGAGAAAGGACGATCGGCGTCAACAGTTAAGAATCGTTCCATATATAATTTTAACCTATCATTTGTCAACTACTGGGACATTCGAAACTAAAGGGGAATTCTACTCCCTCCCTCCCTATAAGACTTCATTTTAGAATATTTGTGATATTATCAAATAAATACCTGAAATATAGTTTTATAGAATACATCATGAATGTTGATACTTTTTTCATAAATTCAGTCAAATCTAAAATAGTTTAATATAGAACAAAATGGAAATGAAGACTTTAATTTCCAGGCACGGTGAACTATTGTGGGAATGGAATACACGTGGAAGGCAAATATATTGGAAATTTTACATTTCTTAGCTAGCTTAACAACCGTTGACAATCTGACATTGTGGTCCCTTGGAAAGCCTGCTCGATCAGATCGCCGTCGGTGGCTCGGTGCACATGCTCGTCACCTCGAGCAATGGGGATTTCTTTTATCTGACTCGCCATGATCAGGGTCTTCTTGGGAGAAGGAAGAATCTCCATTGAAACTCAAACCCTCTTACGTACAGTTCGAGAGAATCAACAAACAGAAATCAAAATCAAACCCCCTTGATAACAAATTGAGGGACTGATGTGATGGCGATCCAACTAAGGGCCCGTTCGTTTAGGCTGTTTCCCGGCCGGAATATTTCCGGGTGGTGGTTGACCGTATAAAATACAGCACAGTTCCTAGCCGGATCCATTCTAGCACTCGGTTCCGTGAGAACTGAACGTGCCCTAAGCAGGATATGAAGATTGAGGAGATTTAAACTTAATATAAGCACAAAAACAGTCACAGATGATGCTGTGTCTCTGCCCGAGGCGAAAAGGATGAGGACGGAACCGAGAACGAAGGCCAAGCTCAGGCAGCGAGGGACAGTCGGCGACGGCGGCACACGGCACACGACACCGGCAAACCGCGAGCACAGCCTCCGTTCACTAGCCATCCGATGGGCTTTCAACCGTCCCGTGCTATGCATGGGCCTGGGCCCTACCCTTTGAGAACGTACGCTCACTTGGGTTACCTAAGGGCCCGTGAAGCCTGGGCCGGGCATTGCTAAGACGGATCTGGGCTAACTACGGGATTGGCTGGGCTGGTCATGTGCGCAATGGAATACCGGGTTCTTTTATCTATGTGCAAGCCGCAAAAAGAGGAGAAACAAGATTTCTAAGCTAAAGAAAGCCGACGGGGATTTTACCGTGAATGAGCAGGAGATGAGGGAAGTGACCAGGGATTTCTATGGCAATTTATTTCGCTCAGAAGGAGTGCATAATATGAAAGTTGTAGTGAAGGTCACCTCAGAGATGAATAATAAGCTGTTGATGCCATTTACAGGTCTGGAGGTAAAGGAAGTTTTTTTTCTAGATGTTCCCTACTAAGGCACCAGGACCAGATGGTTTCCCGGCTCATTTTTCCCAGCGATATTGGGATTTGTGTGATATATTAAATTGATTCTAAGGCAGTTGCGAACAGACTGGCGGTGGTGTTGCCAGAGATAATCTCTGAAGAACAATCGGCTTTTGTACCTAGCAGGTTGATCGCGGACAACATAATCATGGCGTATTAGTGTTTACACTTTATGAAGAAGAAGCGTGCCAGGGATCGCCCTCAAGATGGATATGAGGAAAGCTTATGATCGGGTCGGATGGCCGTACTTGAGAGCTTCGTATGGGCTTTCACCAACTTTGGGTTGAGACGGTAATGAGGTTAGTTACATTAGTAATGTTTTCGATTCAGCTTAATGGTGACTGCTTAGAACCTTTTTACTCCAACGCTGGGAATCAAACAGGGTGACCTGATCTCCCCTATCTTTTCTTGTTAGCAGCAGGGGGCCTTTGGTGCCTCTGGAAATCAAGAAGTCAGTCATCATACTCAATGGAATTAGAGTGGTGCCGTCGGCCCCGACGGTCTATCTACTCTTTGCAGATGACATGTTGTTTTTTAGGGTGGATGGGGAGAGTGCTCGAGAGGTGAAGGAGGTGTTGAATACTTATTGTCAAGCTTCGGGCCAGCAAATAAATATGGACAAATCTTCAATCCACTTTGCCAAGGGTTGCGGCCAGAGTTTGAGAGATGAGAACAAGAATACTCTTAAAAGTGCACAATGAAGCTCTTACGGAGAAATATTTGGGAATGCCCTCTGATGTGGGTTCAGCAATAAATGGAGCTTTCAAATTTTTAAAAGATCTAGTTTGGAATAGGGTGCAAGGATGGATGGAATAGTGCTTGTCAGTAGGCGGAAAGGAGGTTCTTATCAAAGCGGTAGCACAAGCAATTCTAACCTTCTCCATATCCTGCTTCAAACTACCCCGAGGGCTATGCCAAAATATTAATGGCATATTGCGCAAATTCTGGTGGGGTTGTAGAGATGGAAAGAGGAAGACCTCTTGGGTGGTGTGGGATGACATGACAAAGCCAAAGCTTTTTGGTGGTCTTGGCTCGATATGGAGCTATTTAACCTTGCACTTTTAGCAAAACAAGCATGGTGACTGCTACAGGATGATAGTTCTCTAAGTACTCGGGTTCTAAAAGTTGTCTACTTCCCATACACTAATTTCCTTGCTGCAGAGATTGGGCCATCTCCGTCGCGGATTTGGCGGTCCATTATGGAGGGCCGGGAAGTACTCAAAGGGGGATTGATACGACGGATCGGTACGGGCAGTTCAACAAATATATGGTTGATGGACTGGTTACTGATGTTGGAATTGAGGAGACCAGTGCCATGCAATCGGGAGAATCCTCCTTAGCTTGTTAGCGACCTTATTGACTCATCAACAACAAGCTTGGATCGTTGGAGACTGCAGGAGTTCTTCACGCCGACAGATGTGGAGGTGATAGCAAGCATTCCATTAAGCACAGTGCCAAGAAGACTTCTAGGCTTGGCATTTTGAGAAGTGGGGTGTATTCTCTGTCCGATCGGCGTATAGAATGCTCATAAGTCAAGTTCCTAGTAGGGAGCATGGGCGCCTCGGACAGACATGCAACTGAGAAGGAGTGGTCGACTCTTTGGGGGATCAAGGTACGACCTAAAGTACGCATGTTCTTGTGGAGGCTAGCTCGATGCTCTCTTCCATCAAAAGATGTGCTTCATCACAAGAACATGGCAGATAATAGTGCCTGCCAGATGTGTGGAGTTGAGGACTCTTGGAGGCACTCGTTTCGAATGTAATATGGCACGCTGCATTTAGGCTCTGGAGAAAGAAGAGATTCTTGAACATCTTTGTCAAATTGAGGAATAGGACGTGCGGGGCTGGTTAGCCATGATAATGAAGTCCTTGCAACATGAGGACCTAGTCCGAGTTGTTGTCACCTTGAGGGTTATTTGGTATGTGAGGAGGAAAGTTGTGCATGAAAATATTTTTCAAAGCCCGCTCTCCACACATCAGTCCATCGCCAATTTTGTGGCAAATCTCCATCTCATTAAGCCGCAAGGGAGGGTGCGGCTTGAAGCACAATGAAGTTCGGCTCGGTGGGTCCCCCCACCAAGCGGACTAATGAAGATAAATGTTGACACTGCTTTGGCCAAGAATTCATCAAAGGTCGTTGTAGTGGCTGTTGCTCGAGATTTCAGAGGAAAATTCCTGGGTGCGTCGGCTGTGGTTCTGGAGGGCCGAATGGAACCAAACACAGTAGAGGTCATCGCATGTAAAGAAGTTCTCACGTTTGCTAGCAATTTGGTTCTGCGTGGTTTTCAGACTAGTGTGTGACAATGCCGGAGT